ATCGAGTGGAAGACCTAAAAACTTGGGGGGCACGTGGGTTTTTTCAATGCCATTTTTTGTTTTTGTGGAACAAAACGATTTCTTTCTTTACACAGAAAAAATATAACATTGTTTGATACTGTGGGGACTTGGTAAGCCAAGACATACTCGCCACACTCAAAATTTACTGTTGAACATAGTAAAAATTGCAAAATGGATGACTCCAAAGGGAGTGGCATGATTTTCCTATTTAGAATTCATCAATATTTCTTGTCTTTATGATGACATCGCACTGACATCATCAGTTTCTCAAATGTGTTCAAATTTCAATTGTAAATCTCGATTAAGTTTCGCGGAAATTTGGATTGTAAATCTCGTCGAACTTTCGCGCAACTGTTTGTAGTTTTTAAAAATCTTTTAATTGAAAAATAACTTATTAATCCTCCTTCACACCATTTCGCGGTTCTCAGCTATTTTAACGTCCACAGTGAATCAACACAAAAATCCATTGACTTTTGCCAACGTTTCGAGTGGTAAATCTCACTCCTCATCAGGGCAATTACTTTATTTGCATCTACTATTTGAGAAACTTCCATTTACTCCAAAAATTTTCTTCTATATATACGAAGCAGCAAAACATCACAAAAACTCTGTACTTTAACCTATGTCATTGATAATTAACAAACAACCCTCCCCTCCGCACTGTTTCAAATAATTTTTAACTATGTCAATTTTAAAAATTTATCCGTCAAATTCAAGTAAACAGACAATTACAACACTAATTCATTTTGACGAATATCTCGGAATCTAAAAGAGATAGGACAATTTTTCTCATAACCTTTTTTGTAGAGCCAATTAAAGGTTATAAAAAAGGTCATGAGAAAAATTTTGTTATTTCTCCTAGATTCCAAGATATTCATCAAAAACTGGCCAAAAGTCAAAATCGACTCAACCCGGTTTACCGCTTCGCACCTGAATTTTTGATTTTTTGTGTTAATTCATCGTGCACGGAGAGAAATATTCAATAAAAATTACGTATCTTTTCCATAATTCCGGAGCGAAATGTGGTTGTAGGAAATTTGACGGAACTGTCACGGAATATTTCCGGAGCGTTCCGTAATTTTCATCTTTATCTCCTTTGAAAAATTAGGATATCGTCAGTTGAATTTTCTGAGTCTATTCCGTAATCAATGAGTGAATTATGAGTTCCGTAATTTTTACTGAACATTTCTCCCCGCGTGGACGTTAAAATAGAAGGGAGAGGAAATTTTGATGTCAATGCAGGCGGTCGAAAAAATAATTCAGCTCCTTTAGGATTATTAACCAACACCTGAGCCCCCATTTGTTGATTTCAAGGACTTCCCCTCGTGATAAATGACCAAAGGGTTGTCCAGGGGAGTTGAGAGTGGAGAGTAAACACAAGGCACAAGTGCTGCATGTTCACTGTCTACTATTTTCCTACCCGCGATATATCCGTTAACGCAGCTTGTGTTGTGCTCTTAGTCGTCCCCGGGCGTGTGAGAAGGGGTTAATCCACCCCACAGTGTGCGGCAGAGGGGACATCCCCGTGGAGTGTGTACGTGGTCAGCCCCCCTGGCTTCAAACCTGAAACACATCCTAACTTGCGGCCATCGTCTCCCGGGAATCTTCCGTCTGGATTTCCACTGACGAGCTCAACCCCTCCATTCGCTTCATTCATTTCTCTCGCATGCACTGTCGACTCTAGATATATTTTTTTTTCATCACTCTGTCTCTCTCCCCTCTGCTGTAATCTAGGCTTGCGCGTGCTACGCAGGGGAATACCTTATCGCAGGTCGCGCATGACGGGGCACTAGCTAATTGTGTTATCATTGTGTGAAACACTCACGTCCGACTGTTTCAGCTCGTTCTATTCGACTTTTTATTGTTTATGGATCTTGTTACCCGCATGCACTGATTATTGTCAGGGTTGGTGATTGTGATCAGTAATGAATAATCGTGTTTGTGGGGCTGGAATTGGTTTGTTTTGAAAAGGAGAATAACATAATCTCTCAAATTGATTTGGGAAAGGGTAAGGTGTGATAGAACCTCCTAAATTGTTGCTGGCGCCTGACCGAATGATGCGATTTTGATGAGTCAGGTCTCATTTTAAAGGTTGGAAAAATGCTGAAGGGCACGCGGGTCACATAAATTCAGTAGCGAAGTGGTAAAGTCAATTTTGACCTCACTTCGACACTTATCGATTAATATCTCGGAATCTAAGGGAGATAGAATAATTTTGGTTATAACCTTTTTTGTAGAGCCGATTGAGAGCTACAATAAATGTATTCACGAAAATTTCGCTATCTTCCTTAGATTCGGAAATATTCCTCAAAAAGTCAATTGAGAGATAAGTCGACTTAAATCGTTTTACCAGTTTGCTACTGAATTAAGGTTTATTGAATTAAAAGAGGCGAAGGTGAAATAGAAAAGGATGTGGAGAAGCCATTCCTCTGCCCAATCAACAAGCCACCACTGAAGCTGAAGCTTTGGTCAAGGATTTTATTTCTCGTTTTGGTATTCCTCTCGAGATTCGTTCTCATCAAGGCTGAAATTTAGAATCTTCAATTTTCAAAGAACTCATGGAACTACTAGGTATTCAAGACGAGGACGTTTAATGAGGAGTGGGTTCGAATGCCACTTCTGACAACAGAAAGGTTTATTGAATTCAAAGATGCGAAGATAAAATACAGAAGGATGTGTCAAAACGAGAGGAAAAAGAATGAATGAAACAATCGAGAGACGCTAACGTCAGAGGAACGGTTGAGAGGAAAGAAGAAAATGTGCAAATGATGGAATGTAATTGAAGAAATTAGAGATTCGTTACCTCTAATGCCTTCAAAATGAAAAAAAAAAAAATTGTTCTGTTTCACTCTGCTAATCTCTTCCGCTAGATGGCGAGAAGCTCATAATTGGCTCGTTGGTGCTAAAGTAAGAGAATTCCTTCATAAGTGTACAAAATGTTACAAAAGACGTTTGTCATATAAATATTGCTTTATATTTAATAAAGAAAATTGTCTGCGGCTTTATGCAAATTAATTCTCATAAATTTCTGCGATGAAGAAAAATATTATTGTTAAAAAGAAACTTCTCCCCTCACAGGTCTGCAATGAGCTGGCCGACCAAACTTAAGATTTATCCACCTCTTCAGTAAAATAGACAAAAAAATACCCGAGGATTCCTCTTCACTCGTCCCCTTGTTACGTAATAAATAATGGATTTACACAAGAAGCCACTTATCCACGTAAAGTTGGGCAAAACTCTTGGGCGCCCCCCTCGGGACTCATGATTTTTTAATGTCTTCTTCAGTACACCGAAAACTCGGGAATAACTTCCGTGTAGGGGTAATAAATAAATGTAGATCCTCGCATTTCTCACAACTTCGGAAGGCTTCTATGGTTTTTTCAAATTAATTCCTCTCTCTGGACCACAAACGACTCCTCTCCACTAAATCTACTACCCTAATTAATTTTGTGTCAATTAAAGATGGAGCCTCGAACGCTGTTAAATAGCGAAACGGTAAACCGGGTCAAGTCGATTTTGACTATTGGCCAGTTTTTGACAAATATCTCGGAATCCAAAAGAGATAGAAAAATTTTTGTCATGACCTTTTTTGCAGGACCCATTGAGGGTTATAAAAAAGGTCATGAGAAAATTTTGCTATCTCTCTTAGACTCCGGGATGTTCATCAAAAACTGGCCCAAACTCAAAACCATGGCGAAGTGGCTCTCGCGCGAACGTAAAATATGACTTTATGTCATTAGGCCCGAAAACCGCGATTCTAACTTCACTTCGCTCGTTTAATGCCTAAGGCAGGTTAGGCGGTATATGAGGTGAATTTGAGAGTGAATTTCTGTGGTTCCCGGTAGCTTAGTCGGTAAGAGTGCCCGGGGCGTATCTGGGAGACCCGGGTTCGATTTCCGGCTGGGTGAAGCGGAAGTTTTTTCTCTCTAAATTCTAATTCTCTTAGAGTTTTTTTTTCGCTGCTACAAACTCGGGTCTACAACTCAGGCTTTCAATTGAAGGCCCGAGTTGAAGACCCGAGTTTGTAGCAGAGATGTCAGACAAGATATGAATGTTTTTTAGGCTCAAATGAAAGAGCGGGTNTCCGCTCTTTCATTTGAGCCCAAAAAAACATTCATGCCTTGTCTGACATCGCTGCTACAAACTCGGGTCTACAACTCGGGCTTTCAATTGAAGGCCCGAGCTGAAGACCCGAGTTTGTAGCAGAGATGTCAGACAAGATATGAATGTTTTTTTGGGCTCAAATGAAAGAGCGGGTCGAGAAATGGCGTGCTATAGGGCCTCTAAGCATGGCAAATGTCTCTAAAGATGATGTCTGTTTTCAATTGAAAAGCAGAGTTGTGACAACATTGTCTACGACGACAATGGGATCTAGGAGTATGTATAGAACATTGGGGTCTCGCCTTCGGCTCGGATTATAAACCCACATTCGCCAGATAATACTTTTATCGCCTGATGACATAATATACTATTACCCACATCGTAGTGAAAAATGGACTTTTCCCCGGCATAAAATCTCTCCTTACCCCCAGCTCAATAAAACACCCATTTCATTACACGTTCCCTTCCCTCAAAGCCCCCCATCAAATAAACACCAGCAATATTGCCCCATAACTCATCGAGACGTGACCAGTTGAGATAAAACCAATGTCCGTTAATTACAAATCTGCAAATTAGCCATCAAACATAAACACAAGTAACACGCGTGCGGCACACGCAGGGGGATGAACCCAGTGCCGGAATAGCGCGAACCTTTCTCACTGGAGTCGAACCCACGGGGGTGAGGGGGCGCGTCAGAATCACCCGGAGAGTGGGGGACGGCTCGAGCGAGAACCACCGAGAGTGACAGAGACAAACAGACAGAGGTAACCAACTCTGTTTGTCGGCGAGGGAGAGGGGGTGGGGAGAGAGTGGCAACACCAACTGAACCTCTCGGTGCTCGGCTCTCGGACCGAAGAAAACGCCAGTCGCCACTCGACACCCGCTTCGTACGGAAAGAGAATCGTGCGCAGACGCGAGACGATTTTTATACCGCAATTTGAACCTTCAATTATTAATTTACTACCATCGACTCTGGAACCGAGAAAAAAGCTCGAAATTCACGGATATCAAACGTAAGCGAAGGATACTGTTTGACATTTTCTCGTCAATTTTTGAGCCTTTTTTCCCTGTCGGCCGGAGCTGAAAGTGAAAAGTCCGGAGCGGAGGGACAGGTGGACTTGGTCAGTGACAGTTGAGGGATTATTATCTTTTCGGGGGGCAAATTAATTGCAATGTCATCGGTGAAATGTTCAGTTCTGTTGTGAAATTGTTGTTGAACTTATCAGTGTTGTGGTGATGATAGTGGGGGTGGTGGGGGTTTTGCAACGTGACAGATCTCGAGAGTTTTGTGATCAAGTTTTCACCCGGAATTGTGACAGCTACAGCTGAGCCAGTTGGAGAATACAACAACGATTTTTTTAATTGTGAGTAAATTGGGTTTTTACGGTTTTGAATGAAATTTCGTTTTTTGGGATTGAATTGTCAATGGGAGCGGGTAGTGGCTTTTGATTGGAAAATATTTCATTATTCTTGGGTTTATTTATCATAATACACCTGTTGTTTTGGACGACGTGGGATGTAAACACATGATATGAAATTACGAAATTCGGTGGGGAATTGAATTGGTTACAGTTGGTAAATAATGACGAGTGCTGTTTCGGATTATTGAGACGAAAGTTGAGTGGGGACCGGTCATCGGAGGTGTAATGAGGCGGTGAGGGGAAGCCCGGCGGGAATTGTTGCGGGAGGCTTTCGTCGATGTACCCTTTGGTGGGTCGGAGGCACTCTCGCGGAGAAAAGGCGCCCGCGAAACCAAAGAGACGGGGACGAGTTTCCGTCGAGGGGGTTTTAATTTACCGTTAGAACAAACTAAGCCAAGTGACTGTGGCTTCAATTTTGCAGCTCTTCCTTCTGGGAATTGTGGGGCGGCAAGGCGGGCTGTGGGGGAGGGTAGGGGGTTCAGCGGGTGGTGTGAATGAGAGGGGCGAGGGCGGGGGCCCCTGATTGGGCTGAATCGGAGACTATTTTGCGATGGTGAAGGAATCGGGGTGGTGGGAGAAATAATAAGGTTTGTTGAATTGCCAAAGGAGCGATGTTTCGATAAATTATTTTAGCAGGCTCGGGCAGAGACGAACGATATACGCAGGGAAATGTCAACCTGAAAGGGAAGAATTAAATTCCGTAAAAAGATGGTTCGCCTCAATTTAGGGAGAGATGATTAAAACGTCGAGTATTTTGCAGTCATTTTTCGGAGACTAGGGGGTCGATTTAGGGGGGAAAGTAATCGGGAAATTTTGAATTTTTGGACGGAAAAAAGAGGAGAGTTCAGAATTTAGTTGAAAATTGTAGAATAAATTGAAGTGAATTTTTCTAATTTTTATTGATTTTTTGAAAATTGTAAATTGAACTGAAATTGACAATTTCCGTTGTTTGTGTTGAGGAGATCGTGAATTTTTAATTAGGAAATTCCTTGAAATTTTTTGAAAGCTCAATAATTTACTTGAAATCTAATTAAAACATGAATGTTCAGTCACAAATTGAATTAAGGTTTTGAGTAGTTAAAAATTGAAGAATATATTCACGTGAATTTTTCAGATGTTTATCAAGTTTTTTCAATTGTGAATTCAACTGAAATTTATAATTTCTGTTGTTTTTGTTAATGATATCGTGAATTTTTAATTACGAAACTCCTTAAAATGCGAATATTCCGTTACAAATTGAACAAAATTTTTCACTAGTTGAAAATTGAAGAATATATTCACATGAATTTATGAATTTTTCTAATTGTTATCATTTTTTTTCAATTAGAAATTCCATTGAAATTTACTGTTTCCATTGATTTTTCCATAGAACTGAATTTTCAATGACGAAATTCCTTCGAATTCTCGGTAAATTGAGTGGAAATTAAAAATTTTAAACAATAGGAAGATGAGAATTTCTCAATTGACTTGAATTTTAATTCAAAACATGAATATTCAGACCCTATTTATCCTGAGTTTTCCTGATTTGTATCAATTTTTACTGAACAATTGAACTGAAATTTATTGTTTTCATTGATTTTTTTCATCAAATTGGAAATTTTCAATGAGGAAAACCTTTGAAATTTCAGTAGAACAATACAAATTCAATAAAATCAAAATCGATTCTGTATTTCCATAAATGCGGAAGTCCTTAAATTCCCATGGATGAATTCCCAATAACAAAATCAAGACCGATTCCGTATTTCAATAAATGCGGAAGTTCTTAAATTCTAACAAAATCGATCATACAGTGCTTGTTGAATATTTCAACAATAATATCCCTTACTGCAAAAATTTCATCAGATGGATTGCTCAATTGAATGAGCAAACACATCCATTAAGAAAATGCACATTTAATCATCGATTTCTCTAATCAGATAAAGTAACTACCAGTAATTGATTTCTGAAGACAGAGAACAGAAGACCGATAGCTTCTCAACAATTCATCAGATGCGAGGGTACTCCGTTGCAGCGTTCTGTGAACCTTGGAGAGACTAAAAAAAATTGTTCAAGAATAGATTTTAGAGAATTCACTGAGTACTTGAATAATAAAAATAATTATAACTTCACCCAATGTTGAAAATTTTTGACTGAAATTTGCAGTACATTTTTTGGAACTATTTATCAGTTCAATTACAGTTCCATTGGAATTTCAAGGAATTTTGTAATTACAAATTGACTTTTTCATGTAAAAAAATCAGTACAAATTGTCAATTTTACAATTTTATGTCAATTCGGGGTCAATTATTCCATGAAAATTAATAGAAATCAGGAAAATTCAGGTAAATATATGTTTCAATTTTCAATTAAGTGAAAATGCAGCATAATTGGGTGCTAAATATTTATGTTTTTATTGAGAATTCATGTAAGTTGAAAAATTCTTCTCTTCATTTTGCTAACAAATATCAAACTTCCGTTTGATTTAAGAAAATTTCAAGGAATTTCATAATTGAAAATTCACTATTTGATCTCAATAATTAATACAACTTGTAAATTTCACAATTTCAGGTAAATTGCAGGTCAATTATTCTATAAAAATTAATAGAAATAAGTAAATTTCAAGTAAATATATAATTCAACTAATTGAAAATGCAGCATAATTTAGAGTTGAACACTTATGCTTTGATTGAAAATTCACTATTTCATCACAAAAATCAATGCAAATAGTAAATTTCACAATTTCCTCTAAATTCCAGTTCAATTATTCCCCGAAAATTAATAGCAATTATGAAATCAGAAATTTCAACATGTTTTCCTCTCCAAATGGAATTCAATATCGCTCTCCTGAAAATCCAAGCGTGCACTTGCCCCTGATAAACCCATATTTCCACAATTATCGATTATCCCTTGAACATTGTGTCAAGTTTTCTCTCCTCCGTGATCTAATAAACCAACTTGCGGCTTGCCTGAGACGAGCAGAGTGAGAAGGATTGTTGTCCATCTATAATTAACCGATCCAGAGTGATTGGTTTAACTGGATTATCCGCGGGATAGAGAAGAGGATGAGCGTGGAAGCGTCCACACGCACGACTTTGTAATTAATTCATGGGGGGCAGGCAATTCTCTAGAACCCCCGGGGGCCGGGGGAGGGGGGGGGAGTGTTAACTATTCACCACTTGTTCGGTCTCTTTCTTTAATTCCTCCCTCACTTGTACGTGGAAATGAACCAAGTTGGGTTAATTATTGAACGGGAAACGCGCGAGTCGCTGATTTCGATTGAAAATACTAATGCAATGCGGATTAATTTGCCTCTGCGGGGCGGCTAATTAAATTCCAGGGGATTTTCCTTGGCCTTTGGGGGTTGAATTACTGAGGGGTGATTACACTCAGAGAATAACACATTTTCTTCTGAATTTTTCTATTCATTTCAACAATTTTAATGAAATTGTTTTATTTATGTAAATGGGATGTTATTTATTCATTCTAAATAAATCCTCTGGTAGAATCAGATTAATTGATCATACATCCTCTGTTCTGTACTGAGAAAAAAATATGTTTTTGCCAAATATTTATTTACTTGGGAGAAGTATTTATTTTTTCAAAATCGAATTTCTACAATCCAGTCATTCCCAGGAGTACTTAATTAATTTTCAATTATGATAATCATGTTGCTCTGGAGGATGACTATGCTTTTCATAACCTTGGATGAACTCCAATAATTATTCATTTTTCCGAAATTTGTTATTTTCTGCAGGGAAGAATTTTGATTAATTTTTTAATGCTGATAATTATTGAGGGAGTTCACGCAAGGTCATAACTAACATGATCATCTTCTAGAGCAATATGATTGTCATAATTGAAGGCTAACGAGGATTGTTTGGGAATCACTCGACAGAAGAAATATGGTATTGACAAAATAAATACTTCTCTCAAATAAATGGATATTTGGAAAAAATAATTGTTTGTCTCGTGATGTCTCATAAAATGTCTCATGAATGATAGCCTGGGAAATAGTTTCTCCAGATTCTTCAGGGGGACTTAATGAGGTCTGGAATATTTGTTGGATTTTTAATCACTAGGTAATTAGTGCCCCGCGGGGTCAGCGCTCGGCGGTGGCGGGCCGGCTCAGCTTTGGGAGGCTAAGCAGCGCTGAACATGGTCACTAGGAGGATGGGTGGCCGCGAGGGAACACCTCTGGAAGCGTTCGAATTTTTCGAAAGTGAAAATCCATAAGAAACCGAAAGGTATACGGTGATGGAAAAGTTAGTTAGTTCATTAGGTAATTAGTTTTGGGGTTTGGAATTCTTCGTATGCAGGTTTGATGAGTTTTCCGGGTGATTAGATAGATGAGTGGACTCCGTTATTTCCGGAGGTTAAACGTGATTGCTGACACGGGGGACACGAGCCTCAACTACATTGTCTTTGGGGAAAGAGATTAGAAAGATTTGAGTAATTGAAAAAATCGTTTTGGGAAGGTGTGAGTGGTAGAGATAATTTGAGTTTTAGGGACAGTAGCATTGAGTTCGATTTACGGGAAAGAAGTTATGAAATTTCACTGGGGATTTGGGGGATTTTAAAACATGAATAGTGACAAATTAGGCTGAATTATATTCACTGGAATTTTCTGGATTTTTATCATTTTTCAGGGAATAATTCAACTGACATTTGCTATTTCTAGCAATTTTGTTATCGAATTGGGAATTTTCAGTTATGAAATCTCTTGAAATTCCAATGGAACCGAATTTTCCTGATTTTTATTATTTTTCGTGGAATAAATTACTTGAAATTTAATGTTTTTAGTGATTTTTCATCAAATTGTGTATCTTCAATTATTAAATTCCTCGAAATTTCAGTGCAATTGATACTTGACACCACATTTTCAATATTTTCTTTATTCTCAGCAGTTTTTTATCTGTATTTCAACAACTACGGGGGCAAGTTCACATGAACGAGTTCAGAAAACT